TCTTATGTCATATGTTACATGAAACACTAATAGATAAAGAGACTTTGTCAGGAAAAGCTCCACTATGAAATTCAAAGCTATTGATCAGGATAGGATGGGAGGAGAAATGTGATTGCCCATGGTAAACTGAAGGCTTAAAGTTGTGAAGACATCTTGCATCTCCTGGGAGCAAGTAGGTGACCCACTGGTGAGTGACCCACTGCATCTAGCTATTTTGTAGTCCTAGCCCTCAGTCAAATTTGGGGTGACTCTGAAATGTGCTCTCTATATAAGAACTACAAGAGTTTGAGTGGTCTATCCAAAGTTTAGGCTATCCAAAGTAATGCAAATGGAGGAATACCAAGTGACATTTACACATTATGGAGTTTCACTCTTGACAGATCTGTCAAGTGTCAGATCTGTCAAGGCATTTAATACCATTTTACAATTACAGTAGGGATAAAATGATCATCCAAAATATGATCAAAATAGCTCAAAAATAGAATCACTTAATAAATGTTTTTATAAGTTTATTTCTAAAGAGATATCTGTTGGAACAGCAATTTGTTCATTTTTCATCAAAGTCCATATGGACCACGAACTATCTAAATGCTGGAGGGACCAAGAAAATTAAGACATACTAATTAATTTATTCAATGACTATTTATTGAGAGTCTACTATTTGTCAGATGGCATTTTTTTTAGAAGCTGGAGATAGCAAATAAAAATATAATGTCTTTGTAGTGTTAAATATCATGGAGAAAGATGCAGCAGAATAGAAGGTCAAAGTGAGTGTGAGGTCAAATAGAAGGTCAAGTGGGGCACATGTATTAAATAACTGAAGCTAAGGAAGATCTAGGGGAGTGTCAGGGCAGCATGAGAGCAAGTATAAAGTCTTCAAGGAAGGAAGGTGTTTGGCATGTTTGAGGAATAGAGAGATGATTAGTGTGGAGAGAGTGTTCAGAGATTAGGTGGGAGAGACGTCAGGGACAGAGTCATGGGGTGCCTTGCACACCTGACAAAAGGTGGGGTCTGAGTACTGAGGAAAGCCCTGGAGGGAGTTGAGGCTCTGGATAGTCCCTCTGCCAGCTGGGTGGAGAATTGACTATAGGGGGAGCAAGATTGTAAGAAGGGAACTGGGAGGTGATTATTGTAGTATGGATGAGAGAGGATGTGGTGGTGGCTGGTGATCAGGTTTGAGATGTACTGTATTTTGAATGTTGAATTCAGTGGTAGGAGCAGGGCATAGTAATTAATGATTTGAATGGAGAGATATGAGGATGTTTCAAAGGAAGAAAGAAATAGAGGATAACACTTGTTCTCAGTCACTGATAGAAGGTAATGGTCATATTCTTGTAAGGCAAAGAGTAGGAAAGAGTGAGTTGGAGGCATTGAAAACTTCTGTTTGACAGATGCCCATTAGATATTCAAATGGTCAGTTGGGTATCTGAGTGTTCCCAGTTCTGGGGGTACAGATGTCAGTTTGGGAGTTTTTAGTATGTAAATGAATTTTGAAGTCATCTACTAGATATCATCAACCAGGCAAGAGCCTCAGTTGATAGGAGGACCAAGGGACTGAGTACTGAAGTATGCTAATATTTAGTGGTTGGGAAGAGAGGAGGTGGAGGCAGAGCAGATGGAGAGAGGTTGTTGGTAAATGTGCTAAACACCAGTAGAATGTGGTATCTCAGAAACAAAGGGCAGAAAATATTTTAAGAAGGAGAGTTATAAGCCCCACAAATGGCTTCCAAGAGGACTGGATTTGGCGAGGCATGGTCCCTTCCTTCAAGGGGCTCACGGCAAGTGGGGGATGGGAAAATAAGGAAACACATAAATCGGGATACAATGGTGACGTGCCCTAGAGATGTGAACACACTTCCGGAGACGGACTGAAGACAGAGCAGGGAATGTCCCTAGAGAGTCAAAGAATGCTACATGGAGGAGATGTATTTTTGGATTCTTGAATTTAGGAAGAAGAGATTCAAACCAAGGATTCATAGAACTTAGAAATTTTTTTTCTAGTTGTTTGTTGATTTTTCTCCATCACTTATGCAAAACTGGTATTTCCACCCCCCCAAGTTAATATTTCACTGCTATCACTGCTATAACTCGATGCACAATTACCACTCATCAGCACACATGGTAATTATTTTGTAAGGACAATAATGCACTCCACCGTACTCTACTCTTCTGTAGGATATTCTTGATATTACATCTTCCCTTGTCAGAGCCTTTACTTTTAGTTACATTTTAATTCACTTTCATAGGGGGTACATAAGTGTACAGAACTTATTCTTTTTTTTTTGAGAGAGAGAGAGAGAGAGAGAGAGAGAGAGAGAGGGAAAATTTTAATATGTATTTTTTTAGTTTTCGGTGGACACAACATCTTTGTATGTGGTGCTGAGGATCAAACCCGGGCTGCACGCATGCCAGGCGAGTGCGCTACCGCTTGAGCCACATCCCCAGCCCCAGAACTTATTCTTAATAATAACTGCTGAAAAAACTATTGCTTTTTACTTCACATGCTATAGTTCATTTTGTTTTCACAAATAATTTAAATACCTTTATCGTCCCTGTTTTTACTCTGTCACAGCTGAGATACAGAGAGGTTAAGTATCTTGCTCAAAGTCCACAGAATAAGTGCCAGAGCCAGTATTAGAACTGGTCATCTGACTTTGGAGTTCATTATCATATTTTATCCAGAATAGTATGTTGTACTTTTATCCTTACTGTTATATTTCTGTGTTCCTAGGATGAGCCGTTAGTTATTAGGGAAAAGTCTTTAAGGGAGAGGCTGATCTTTGATTTCATTTGCCATCTTTTTTAAGGACTCAGAAGCCCGATTACAGGTTGTCATTTCAGAGTGGGTCAGAAGAACCCAGGAACTGGACACTGGATCCAAATGGAGAAGAGTGCCTTTATATCTTTAACAATTGATTGTAGATTGTCCTGTGACTGTGTGTGGATTTATGTTCAACCAGAGCATGTGTGAGGAGGGTGGTGGCAAAAGCAGCTACAGTGTTTGTGACAGAGAGTGTCCTCTGCTAATAGAGGTGATAAGTTCATTATGATCCCAGATGCATGGGGAACACACCTTTATTTCCTTTTTAACCTTACTAAAAGTGCAGGAAAGGATTTCATATTTAAGGAAGTACAAAGTGTAAGGCAAAGCCATCGTGGTTAGGAATGCCTGCAATGCAAAGGTTCAGTGGTTGTAGTTTTCTGGATGCTCAAATAACATAGTGGCCAAAGTCTGAGATATTTTGATGCTCAAACCCCAGTAAGTGTGTACATAATTGAAATAGAAAATAATTGGATCCTAGCAGAATCTAGATATAGTTCAGCCTTGGTTTGATCTCTGATGTGTCTTTTAATAGGCCGACTTTATTTCTAACGATGGTTTTATCTTCTTCCTGACACCACTGTAATTGGTTCACCCAAGAGATGAGGATTTGGATACATAGTTTTTCTAAGCATTTGAAGTCTCTCCTTCTAGAAGATTTTGAGTTCTACCTTTGATCTAAAGGTTTCTGAAATAAGGTGCTAGCCACTTTCCCCTTCATGGTAGATAGAAGATATAGCATAAATAACTTTTGCTAGGATGTTTTCAAGAACAGTTTCTGAGTAACTTTCTGAAGGCACAGAGCCATAAATTTTATAATTAGTTTTTTTTCTCCCTCAAGATAAAAGAATATCTGCTCTTCTCTTTATTCTGCTCTTATTAAAGTGCTCTTTTCTGGGCATAGTTATTATATTTTCAGCAAAGCTTAAGGGACCCAGCATTAAAATTTTCTCATAGTTTCAACAAGTGTAGAAAAGTTGCTGGGAAATGGATCCTGTACTTACTGCTGCTATGGGGTAATATTCTTGCAACTTATATATATGTGCCTGAGGAAGGGAAGACTTAGGTGACCATCTAGCTCTGGAAGAGAAGCTGCTTCCTACAGAAGGAGGATTTTGAATGGCCACAGAGCCAAGCAAACACTCAAACTGGCTTCCTGTGGGCCATTTCCTCTTTGTTGAAACTGATCCAAAGCCAAGGCGAAGAAAAGAAAAATTTTCCTCTTATGAAATCTCAAATCTCTGACGAGTCACCATTCTCAACACTGTTCAAAAAACTAACGCAACTGTACATTTGAAGTATTTCACAAATTTGCATGTGAGAAACTTTATAATATTTGTTTTGAAAATTAAGGAAATAAGTCAGAATCAAAATCAGAAAATTCAGATCATGCTATCACACTGACAAGTAACACCTATTAACTTTAGAATAACAAAAGCTGAAAGTCCACTGACTACGGTATCTTAACTGTCATGCTTTAAAAGATCTTATGCTCAATTTTGTCCTTTTCGGGACATGCTTTAAGAGATTCAAATTTTATGTGTACTTTTATTTTTTAAAATGTATCAATTAAAAATGTTTCTTTTAGTCTGAGATACAGATTACCTAATTAATATTTTAAAACTTCGAAAACTTTTTCTCTCCATCTAAAATCCCAAGAAAATGAAAGTACAGTATTTTGGTACCAAGTACTATAGAAAAGTTGAGTGTTTTATTTATTAATCTTAGCATTTTCATTTCTAAACAGCATGAGATGAATAGAAGAAACATAGCAAGACATTTCTTTCATCAGTTGTGTGTTTAGTGGTGTTTTTTTTTTTTTGGATAGGAAAAAATGTGTTGCAATTACACTATATCTTAAAATGTTCACAATAAAAAGTTGATGAATCTTCAAGCAAATGACTAAAATCTCTGGCCCAAAGTCTAGAGGGCAGTTCCGAGTATTTTACCAAGGGTTATTCATTTGCCTTGATTGGGGGTGGTGTTACAATACAAATTGATGCACAAATCCTTCTCCCCACAATTCTGGCAAAGTCTTTGATTGTATTTTTTGGTGATCTCCACAGTGCCTGCCAGGCCTGTGCCTAATACTGACACCGAACTCAGCCAGGTCCCTCTGAACTTGGGGTCTGGCTTCCCACGCTGTGCATCTGGATGCACGAGTCCCACTTTTTCTTACCTGCATAGTGGTCAAACACAGTGGGCACGTACTCCTCGGGGAAGGCATCATTGGCATAGCTCATCAGCAGGCAGGTTTTCCCCACGGCACCGTCCCCAACCACCACACACTTCAGCATCTTTTTCTCCTCGTTGCCACTGCAACTGCAGCTGCTGTCATTTCCCTCTTTGCAGTTCATTCTTGCGGCTCCAGCTGCTGCTGCTGCTGCTGCTGCTGCTGCTTCCAAAGCACATGAAGCTGTGGGAAGTGAGCGCCAGGCTGGAGTTTACCCTGCCTTACTTTGGCTACCTTGGATCATGCAGGCATGTCCGAGGCACGCGGATGCCCTGTTGCTTACCATTCTAGTAAAGTAAGGGAGCACACACTTGGGGGAATTATTAAAAGGATCTATTCCTCTTCCCTATCAGTTCCACTTAGGAGACGCTCCTTCCTGTAGGATTCTAGAGGCTTCCCCACACCTCAGAAATTTCAGCAGCCTGAGGGTTTCACCCTGCTCTCGTCCTCTCCAGCCTGGCTGAAGGCACGGAGGAATTTTGCTAAATCTTTCCCATTTTCCACCTCACATCTAACATGGAGGAAAGCTGCGCTTTTAAATGGAGATTTCCCCCTGCTTCCTCCAGCTTGCCGAGTATCAGGAAATCATGGGTTTCCTGCTGCATTCCATATTAGGATCAGTGGGCTGGGGAGGGCTGCAACAATGGGAGCTCTGTGTGTGTGTGTTTGTACTTCTGGGGAAGGATGCCAGGACATGGAGTGGGAAAACACTAGGGGTCCCACTGCAGACTCCAGCGGTCAGACTTCCTGTTCTGCCCGCTGCTAGTCAGGCTGTTTGCTTGTGGCTGGCTGGGAAGAAGCCGACGAAAGGATGGAAACCCGGAGAACTGTCTGCCACAGAAACAGGGGGAACGGTTTGAGTGAGCAGAGAGAACCACACCAGCAACTGAAGGATAACATATGACATCATCCCTCACTGAGTCACCAGTGAAAAGCTCTGAAAATTAAAAACGGACAGTTTTTTTCTTTTACTTTCTTAAAATGAGAACCCTCAAGAGATTTCTTTTTGCAATAAAAAGACAATTTTCCAGAGTTACATAGTTTCAAAAGCAAAATTTTATTATAGGTCATAGGTTCCTATAGTACATGTGATTAGGTTTACAAGCTGCCACATTGGAGTGCAATGCTCAGATATGTATTCCAGACACTAACATTTTTTTTATGATTGTAGCACATAAGAAATCAATTAGAGGTGGGACGTTTGTATTTTCTTATTAGTAAATAAACACACATGCGCTTGGCTCCTATTTAACACCCTTTGGAAACAAGAGTTTGAAGGATGGCTTTTTGATTTGGGTCCCCAGTGCTGTTTTTGCTTGGAGGGTCCCGTGTTTGATTTAGTCCTCTCCCCTTGGGTCAGGCTGGCCCTCTTCAATTACAAAGGAGTCATTGGCAGCTAATTTATTTGTCGGTTGGGTCTCTCAAAATGAAGCCCCTTTGAAGTTCTGCATTTGATTAATGTACTTGGTCTTGGAAAAGAAGTGGCACTCTGCAAATGATTTGACAAATGGATTTCTCTGAGATTTTGAAGGATTCACATTATTTAATTGCTTTGAAAATTAAATAAAAAAGTTTTTCTGGGTGGGGGCAAAGTGGGAAAAGTCTGTTTTCATAAGTGGTTATCTATAATATTTATACCCACATATCATACATATGCCATCATCTAATATAGTACTAAATTTCTTCTGTTTTATATCAGAGTAGCATTTTCCATAATGTGTAGTGTCCCAACATTTCTTTCCTAAAAAGGAATGGTGTTTCAGTTAGGTTATGGTATGTTAGCTAGGTTATATTGCAATAACAGACAATCCCCACACCTCAGTGGTTTAAAATAACATGTATTTCTTTGCTCACCTTGTATTTTTGTTCTGTATCACTGTCATCTTTATTCAGGGATCTAGGCTGGTAAAGTAGTCATGCTGAGAATGTTGATGATCAGTGAGGCAGAAGAAGAAATGAGTATGGTAGAGGCATTGATTCTTAAATCTTCCTGGACATTATTCTTTTGCTCATGTTTATTGACTAAAGCCAGTGATATGTCTGTGCTGGGTTCAACAGGAGGATCAGAAGTTTAATCCTACCATGTGTTGGGAACCATATATTGGTGAATAGTCTGAATGATAACCAGAGAGTTGCAATATGAAAGTTGAATATTTGCAATATGATAGTTGAATGGTTTATGTTTAGTGCCAATCTGAAGCATTTGAAGACATGTATGATTACATGTGATTTACAAATTTTTCTTTAATTTAGTCTTCCTAGAATACTCGGAATATGTGAGAATAAAATTGCAGTTTGAAAATATGTGTTTTATTTCTAGAAAAAAGGCTTGAGTGTGAATGTGGTAGCCAAATCAGTCTGTGTAGGTGAGGAAGTGGTTGGCAGTGTTGAGGATCCCTTCTAAAGATGAACAAGATCATTCTGAGCACAGTGTGATGATATGTGTTTGGTGGAACTTTGACCTTACTCCTGAGGTTGGACAGTAAATGTGGCATGATACCTCATTCATGGAGCACTGAAACAACATTACCCAGCCTGGCCAACTAAAATCCTGTGTCCCTACACCACAAATATGCTCCTGTGCACTGAGAACTTGGTCTAGAAAAAAAACTGAGAAATTGGATGGAGGTGAATTTTTGCTCTATCTGTGTATAACCTAGACCTTGCACCATCAGACAAGAATATTCAAGTCCATTCTGGTTACTATGTGGACAATGATTTGAGCCAGTTGAGAGCTTTGAAGCAGCTAATTATGGGTCCTTTATCTTGAACTCAAAGGATTGGCAATCTGCCAGATTGGATTATATACAAAGATTGGTTATGGCTATAGAGAATGTTAGCTCTATTTCTCAGATTAGATTTGTTTTTTTTATCATTGTTTACTGCCTCTTAAATTTAATATTTATGGAGAAAGAAAACTTTTGAGACATCCTAGTAAAAATGACAAAAGTTAAAATCTTAATATCTCAGCCTGCAAAGGGGATCACATTGTCCATGAGAATAAATATTTTAAAATATTTCAATATCAAAAGACTGACATGAACCAGGATAACAAATTCTTAAAAACAATTCAGCATTGTTTTCAGAGGTCTGGGAGTCCATAGAATTATGTTTGCTTGCCCAGGTAGAATGATCAAGAATATACTTTGATTCCAAAGATTTAAACAAATAGTAAGTTTGGAAGTGGTATGAAGACCACTGTGTAAAATACTCTACCAGATGCCTGTACTTTTGGGTCTTGGGCCATGTAAATGATTGAGTGGTGGTTACATAGCCATTAATTATTTGGTTTACTTCACCACCAAGTTTATACAAGCTTACCAGCATGTGGTGAAATCTTGTTGGGTGATATTTTCTGCTTTTCCCAAGAGATCTTAAGTACTGAATCCCTCTTGTCCTCTGAGCTTTGGCTTCCCATGAGTTTCTGCAAATGCCAGCAGTTTTTTTTTTTTGTATAAAATTCTGATTCCTTTGATTGCTTCCAGTTTTCAGAGAAAGCTCAGTAGAAGAGCTTAAACTTCCCTGGTCTTTCTTTTCTTTTATGCTTAAAACTAGAAGTTACATGGGGGAAGTAATGCAACTGGATTAGAAACTCAGATTTTTGGACTGGTCTGTATGGAGGAGAATGTTTTGATTTTAGTTTTAGGAATGTGGGATGTGCCATGGTTTCCATGATACCAGGATGCTCAGTAGAATCAGGGGTCACCTCCACTTGGGGGAAGACATTTTCTGGGGCTAATCTGAAGTCAGATCTCTGATGGTGGTGAGTATGGTGTGAGTTGAGAGGGGCAGTGTTTTCAAGTTCTAAGGGTGCTGATCCACCTCTCCTTCTGAGACTAAACTTCAAGATCAGTTGAGGTTGTTAAACTGAACAGGATATCCTAGGACTGCCCTGGACTGGAGCTGCCCCTCCCCAAGGTGGGTGAGCCATTGCCATCAGGAATGCTCTGTGTCTATTTGTCATCTGTTAGGTCACATGTACTCAGTCTCTGGCTATTGCCCATCCCATGCACTTGTTTAATGTCATATATATAATATATATAGCACATCAGTTTTGGATAATATCTTTTCATAATTCTAGAAATGGCTTTCTTTTTCCTATTGGGAGGTCTTCTCTTTTCTCCTCTAATATATTAATTCCAAGAGAAATAGGTTGCTGGCCAATCTTAGGTGGGTGGGACTTCTTTCTGTCCTAGGAAGAAAGAGGCCCATTTGGTCAGTAATGATAAAGAGCTTTGTGTGTGTTTCTTGTATATTGCAATATTTCATAGCTTAACTCTGAATACAAAAACTTGTCTAAGAGGAAGAGAGTCTTGTGGGTTATCCATTGGGTGTTTTTGGTCTTCAAAGAAAACCAGAGATTAGGGAACCATTCAAATTCCTCCTATCCAGAAAATATGGAGATGAATAACAGTTTAGAGAGAACTTTCCACTGATTCTTGATCTTCCAGATGAGTTGTTTTAAAAGGCAGAAGATTTGAGGTTGAGATGGTGCTGGGTTGTTTCTCCCTCAATGCCATGAATAGAAATAGCTTGTAGAAATAGCTCTCTTGGACATACACAGAGATCTTCGGTGTTTGCTTTTCTATTTAGTGATTTGACTCCAAGAAGGCTAAGCTCATTGGATTGGTCATTGTCTGGGTGGGCAATGGTACAATTGCCAGAGATTGAAATTCTGTGGGCACAGGGCCATGTCATAGTCTACTGTTCTTTTTTGTATATGGGATATTTTTCAAAAGTGAGAAAGATTGATGAAAAATTTCTACTTTTGCTAGAAAAACAGCTCAAACTTGCCTTTGGCTTTGGACACATTGATAGCATTAATGGCATATAAAAATAATATATAGAATGAAAATTTGAAAACCTCAAGCATCTCAACAATGACTGGGAAAATGGGGCTCTCTGGTATGTAAGTATGCATTTTAGTTATGACGGGATTAAATGCAAAAGGAGTCCTCCTGAGAACCTGCATGATACCTACTAACCCTCTGTTTGGTAAAACACTAAATAAGGAAGAAAACATATTCTCTGTGGATGGGAATGTCTGTTTAGACTATCTGAACAGCTCATTTGCTGGTTAATCTGTATCTACAATTCACTTGCTTCAGAAGAAAGTGAGTCATAAAGACAATCTGAACTTAAAGGAGATTATAGCTAAAGTCTCAGATTTCATGTTTGAATATGGTAGGGACTGTGAGAAAAAATTTTGGAATTGACTCTCAGTGGGATAAGTGGAAGAAGAAAGTAAATCAAGAAAATACCATCAAACAAATCTATTAAAACTCCTAGGTCAAAAGAAGGGGGAGAATTAAAATCTTCAGAGAGAAAGAGAGGATGGATGAACTTTTAGTATGGAAGACTGAACAGTGTTCAGGCTAAGTCCCAGAGAAGATTCCCCTACCCTTTATTGTCAAGATGGAGCATTCTGGCAATGTGTTTATTTTCCAGTCAACTTTATGATACTTCCTTTTTTTGTTGTTTTTCTATTCACTATTGTGCTATTTTGTTGAAAGCATTTTGGATTTTTCAGTGTTAAATAGTCATTTTTTTTATTTGCTTCTATTGTTTTAGACCACATTATATTTGGAGATTATTTGGTATTTTTACCTCCCTTTTTGGAAAATTAAAAAAAAAATTATAATTGGTTTTGTGAAATGTATCTCTTGTGTACTCTAAAAGTCTGAAGGTAACTTCTTTTTGCTTTAATTTTGTTTGATAAAACAACCTAATTTTTAGTGACTGTGTAATGTAGGACAGGCAATAT